TTATTCTTACTGTAAGCATTAATCTTCTTATAATTTGTGATTGGGAATTTATTTTTTTAATATAATTTAATATGATTAAGCATTGATCTTTTTTTATGATTTATAATTACATATTTAGTTTAGAAGATAAAGTTTTTTGTTCTATTTATTCATGATTCACTGAGGTACGATCCTCCGACTATAAAAAAAGGTCAAATAATCACCACAAGAAACAACAGTCAATGACGTAATAGTTAAAGTTCTAACTATATCTTTTAAAAATAAAAATTCTGCAAATTAAAAAAAAAGTTAAGTAAGTTACGTGTAAACAAGAAATCACATGAGTTTAAAGCGTTCCTGCAGTGTTTAGCTCATAAGGTGGCAATGCCGAATATAAAATCTCCATCTTGGAATTTTCAGTCTTCATCATCACTGCATCTAGTTTCAATTGCTATATTTTTCTAGAAAAAAATCCTACGAATCTAGTTTACAAAAATTTAACCTTTCTTGCGAGAACGCCAACTTTTGAAAGTTAGGTTAGGAGAAGTGCAGTGCTGTTCGTACAGTGTTTCTGCCTGTGTATTAGCAAAACTTCTTTTTGCGTCAATCTCCATCTTGCAAATTTCATCACCGATTCATCTCGTACCTTGTTTGTTATATTTGTCTAGCTGATAATAATTTCCAAATCCAGTTTATAAATTAACCATTTTTTGCTCAAGTTGGCTCAGAACAACAGCAACTGAACCAATTAAAAAGAAAAAGCCGATACACTACCATAGTACAATTAATTTATCAGTATTCACCTTTCAGTTCCGGTTTGCATTTTTCTGTTATAATTTACAAACACCATTTGGTGTCTTCAACGATGGCAATAAATATGAAAAATAATGATTTTGCTAAAAATATTAAAATAATAATTATACGACTCCGGTAATGTGATATGATCTCAGAGAAATAATTGCCCATGTTTCTTATCGCTGTAAGTAATAATATAATGATATAATGTTTTTATATATATATATATATATATATATATTTGTAATATATATAACAATTAATAATCAATTTACTGGTTTCTAATAATATATTGCACGTTTATAATACTTTCACTTGCAATATTAATGGGTTGACGTTTTTATAACTCTGGTCGCGTTTACCGAGAGATAGGGCGCACGCAGACCCCAGAAGTAAGTAAAATATTAAGAGTACATTTTAAAAAGAGTAAGAAAGACAAATTGATTTGTAAAAACACACTATTTGTTTTCAGGTTGAAGTTTTTATAGTTCCGTGCTTCTAAAATAAAGCTAGGTCGGCACGCTAGGCCCTGTTGCACAGGGAATACGTCGTTTAAAAAAATGTCCCTTCCCTATTTATCTATCTTAAATTATCTCTAATCTATCTTATACGGTTGTCAAATAAAATGGCCGTTGTTTATATCTTTATCATATAAAATTCGTATGTACAATTAAGCGTTAATTTTTATGTCATTTGTAATAGGTTGCCGCCTTATTTAAGTGCCTTATTTATCAGGGAGATGGAAACAACCGCTATCAAAAACATAATTGATGCCGGGTATAACTCCGTTTAGAAGGGATAAAACTTTATATGTTATAACAGCTTGAAACAAATAATTTCGAGTATTAAAGATTCCAGTCCGTTATCTGAATATTCAACCGGGTAAAGAGAAGTTTCAACGACGGATAAGAAATGATAAGATTCTAATTTGCATTCTTTCCTCCCCACTCCATATAAACGAAAATTTTCCATTTCGTTTTACAGATTCCGTGCATAAATTAAAAAAAAAGAAAGAAAGAAGGGTGAGCTGGCGAAGAAATATGCGAAGGACGGGCAGGAGAATTTTTTTATAATCAAATCCGGAGGGTCGATAGAAAAATTTACACTCCGCAAGTTAATGAAACATTTGTTTTTCTCGCAGTTTCTGCGAAAATCATGCCATATTGACAAATTGTAACATTGCACATTTATTGCTACGAAATCTAATTACAACAATGATAAACGACAAGGACACAGATTGTTTTTACAAAGCTCGTAAGACAAGGAAAATCGAAGTCACGCGATGACTATTGACTGGGAACTACCTACGCGTCATGGAAGACCTGTTGCCCATTGTCGTCTTGAGCAAGCCGATAAATTAGAGATCATCCACGATAGTCATCGAGCAATTTCTTTGACCGATTGTCAACTCTTTTTTACTGATGGAAATGATTCGAAAGCCGTACAATTAGGAAAAACAAAATTTTATCAAATATACTAAACTTCAAATTATTTGAGAAATTTTTTGTATAATATAATTATAATCTAGAAAAATGGCAAAAAGGGTGGGCAATTCAAAAGGTGGGGTTGAGATGGGAAGTCCGAGTGGATGGAAGTCACGATAGCTCAAGTGGTAGAGCAGTGGCGTATCTATCTGAAGGTCGTGGGTTCGAATCCCGCTCGTGACACTTGACTTTTTTATCTCAAATAAAAACCTTAATTAATTGAAAGATATAATCTAGAGTTGTTAAAGGTAATTGAAAATATTTGGTCATAAATTCCATAGATCATTGTATATTAAATTAAATTATATATAATAATCATAAATTTATATTTGGAGGTCGTGGGTTTTAAAAAAACATTTACTTTATCGAGCCAACGTTTCGTTCTTTATTGAGATCATCTTCAGGGCTCAAAGTGTTTGTTTTTCATGTAGGTGTGTCATTCATGTCCGTTGTGTTGAGAGTGCCCGCTTATCTCCCTCTCAACACGACAGACAAGAATTACACATCTACACGGAATTAGAACTTTGAACCATGAAGATGATCTCAACCTACGTCCCATTAGACATCTCACGACCTCCAAATAATCATCAAGTAACGGTCACTAAACATCACACAATTCAATTTATGTATAAACCTTCATCTGTAAATATTTCGGGCATTGCATTAAATTTGAAGTACCTTTGTTCTTTTGTGAATCCTGTATTTCAGCAACAGTATAACTCTACACAAATTTTACAATTTCGCCTTTCTCACAACAGCCAGTTATTAAGATGTAATCTTTGAACTGACTAGAGACAAACAGCGAAGCTAGACGGACCAAATTAGATCAAAATATCGATCTAATTTTCTAACCACCCTAAGCAATTTAACAATTTATTGTGACCTAGTTTGAACACCTTCCTTCTACAGTTTGCTCATTACAAATTAATGTATTAAGCAAGAAGACTGCTTGATATTCCACACCTTTAATGATTTATTTTGAATTACACAGCGCTTTTGGTTAAGGGGAAATTAATTACTGCCCTTATCATGTATTCATTACGGCTTTCCCTATAATGGTCAACAGATTGAATCTTCTTTCAATAAAAAATTGGTTTTAGAATGTAATCGAGTTTATTTTTAAATATACTTTTATTTTTGTACATCAAAGAGGATTGTTACTGCTATTTCAATGCGGCCCTCCGTCGAAAACAACCCTTTTATACGAAAACATTCTTGACCTACAATTTTTACATCTCAATACAACGAGTTCAAACCGTCGTGACCTAGTTCGAAAATGTTTTATGGATGTGACAATTATTTAAAATTTGTAAAAAATATATTTTCTCATTGATGTTTGATAAGCCTTCATCACATCTTATTAACCACAAAAAGAATTCATTACCACAGATAATTTTATATTAAAAATCAAGAATAAGAATAATTTCAAATGTAACATTAATTCTCTTTGTCAAACTTAACAGGAATTTGAAACAATTATTAATTATTATTTACTTTTCATGTAAAGGGTGGTGCAGATGAAAAATTAATTGCACAAGCGAAACTCGAACACACGACCTCCGGCTCTAAACAGCTCTTGACATTAATTTTTTTAATCTCCACTACACTTTACATAAAAATTATAAATCAATTTAAATAATTACTTTGGTTAAATAGGACCAACTAAGTCATATGGATTATTTTTTGTTAATAATGCAAAAGGGTTATGATCTTCCATTGGTAACATGGAAGCCTCTGGTTTCTAGCTAAAAGAAATTATAAATTAAATTAGCAGCAAAGCTCATTCAATATCAGAAATATAACCTACATCCGGTTATACAATAAAGTGCATTCAATACCTCCACTTATCCTAAATTCACCATAATAATGTGCAACAAATCCACAAATTTAAACCCACGACATTTATCCTGTCACTTAATTGACTTTTATAAAAAGCCTATTTTCTCACTGCTGTTTTTAAGTTTCGTGATTTAGTCAATTAACATAAAAACTTATATTAAGAGGAAAAATTAATTCACACTTCATTAACTCAAGTAACATTTTAATTTTGTATTAAAAATAAAGAATAAGACCAATTTGAAAGAAAACCCTAATCTCGTTCGTCGAACTTTGAAGGACTCTGTCACTTTAAACCGGTCTTTCAAAATGTTCTGAATTAACGATGCTATGAATAGTTGCAATATCTAAGAGTTCAAGCATAAAGAAGAAATTTACGAATTAAACTTAAATTTAACGAGGCCCGTCCCTTCTATATCAGAAATATAACCTTCATTTTGTTATCTTGCCCAGCCAAATACACACTTTTGATTAAGTTTTTGGTTGATAATCATACTTATCTTTATATCAATTCATATTTGTTTAGGGGTCATAATAATTGACCATATTAATTTTTTCATTTTATTATTCTTTATATCTTTGATTTGGTTTTGATCTTTATATTATGTCTTCTTCTAAAATTAATATTGATGCATGATAATAATATTAGAAAGCTGGTTTACTTATGGGTTGACAATCTATGCTCATCGCCGGCCCTCTGAGCATAAGAAGTCTCACTATTTTCTTTCAACTTTCGGGCGTAATTTAGACATTTGAGCGTTTTCCTTTTCTTTTATTAATGATTCTTTGTTAAAATTGTCTGTTTACATTGATAATTAATGAAAAACGAGTCTTTACATTAAAATGTCTGCCAATCTCTTTATTCGTTAAATTTCCTGTAGAATATCGAATATATTTGTTCCTTACCTTATGAAAGCGTATCCTTTATCTTTGAAAACACGGATTTCCTGGATGGTGCCATAGGGGCTGAAGGTCTTTTGGACCAATTCCTCAGTCAAGCCGTTCGTTAGTCCGCCGCAGTAGACCGTGCAATTTGTCGGGCTGGACTGGTTGTATACTTCATCGAACGTAAGTGGCTTTGCGTTAGCTGCAACAGAGAACGCAATGGCGATAATTAGAAAATGAGATACGAGAGGGGAAAAAAAGCAAGCCGACGAACAAGGGGCGTGTTATGACTCTAAACTACGGTATGTAGCACTCGACGACGGTCGCGAGCAGGAAATGCCATATAATATTGATAGAAGCAATCATGCGGAACACACATCCCCGAGAGCTCTACTGACACATGTGTTCCGCGCTGCTGAATATTCTATAAATATTTCGGCCCCATCCGCCCCGGAAAGCCGGTATCGTGGGTACGTGCGATGCCGCAGCTGTGCTCTCCGCCGCTGCAAATTCCGCCTGAGGGCTCACCGACGGATTCCGCAATCCGGCCGATTCCAAATAGCTCCGAACGACTTGAATTCTTCTATCCCGGTAACTTTTTTCCTATTTGCCGAAAACGTGCTATTGGGGCCTTTCTTTTAAAGGGGACACAGACACCTTGGACAACATACGAGAGGGACACAATACATAATTATGAATCGCACAACGTAAATCGTCTTTTTGTCGCAAAAACTGTGAATGTAAATCTTACTTTACGCCTTTCACGATAATCAAGAACACAGTCACAATATTTTCTTTTAGTATTGATAAACAAAACAAAACTTATCAACGTAGCAGTACCATTTCTCGTATAAAATTAACTAAACCTTTAAATTACTGACATTATTAAGCTAACGATTGAATCCAATAAACTTACTGTTGTAATAAAATACAATTTATAAGGCAATATACTGAGAAATAGTGAATTATTGTTCTTGAAATTTATGTGTACTATTTTTCATTTAAATAGAAAAACATAAGTAAAAATAATGTACTTGCTATTATAACAACTGATAAGAAGAATTTGTCTATAAAACCTGTACACAAGTATGTACTAGAGAAGGACTTAACATCAGATGGAGGGGGAAAAATCCAACGAGAAAAAATTATCATTTGTGTACTGAAATACTATGAACCAATATCGGTTGGCCAGAGATTGGAAGAGAACTTCTTTTTTATATATTTGCCGGATGATATAATTCTCTTTGGATCAGTTGAAATCGACATGATCAATAGGGACGGGTTGAGCTGGAAGGGTGGGTGAAAAGGGTGAAAAAAAGAAGGGAAACGATTTGACGGTAGCGAGTCCACAAAGGATACGCTTATAGACCCCCCACGGGGTGAGGTTGTTCACAAGGGGGGAAATTGTTCACAAGATCTCATCCTTTACAGAAATATTACGTTTGATTTGACTAGAAAGTAATAAAGGAAGCGTTATTAATTTTTCAACCTCTCCGCACCCTTCCAGTATTTGGAGAAACTTTAAAAAAAAAGTTGAGCGTGGGGATGAGGAAATACCCTTGGTTTAATATGATTAATAGTGAATTCCTTGCAGTTCAAATGGTTTTCATAGCAGCGAATGTGGAGGAATCCGCGCATCGCAATTCATCCCACGGATGGAACGCTGCGTACAGTATGCTTTCATGTCACAATTCAATCTGAATCCCACGCATCAGTCCCAACCCTAATATTCACATTTAACAACACAACCCAAGTTTCACAAATAAATAATAAACAATATTTATTTTGGGCGTTTCAAATAAATTGAAAAACTCAATTCAATGTTCTTACCTAAATTATTGTAAGTTAATTTAATAAAATTCAAGATGTGACTTTTGTAAAAATAATTACAAATTCAAAGGAACCATGCAATTTTATAATACCACACCATGCTAAATGGACCCCAGAAAATTTCATGATAGAATTTAAGGTAGTAGAAATTTACAAGAAAAAAGGTCAGATATATTTTTTTTGAAAACTGTACAGACATCAAACATGCTAGTGAACGAAAAGAACATAGACAAATATAATAAGAGGCCATAAGAAAATTATAGTTATGAAAATTACATGAGGAAACGTGCAAGTAAAATTTGAAAACATACCTGTATACATTGTATATTTTGTAGAAAATTGATGAAATTAATTTGATGGCGTTATATTGAAACAAGTACTTTTTGGAAAGAAAAATTTCCATTTCAGAAAGAAGTATAATAAAGAGGACCAATGTTCGAGTAGCGATTATACAAATATGTTATGCGTGTATAGATGTTGCGCGGACACTGGCGCCAACAAAATAATAATGTTAATCAATTCCCTTTAAATATAGTATACAAATATTTCTGATTGTCTGCAATATTATTGACAATAATTTCATCCAAAGTTGGTGCGGAATTGTTTTCTCATCCCTTACACATAAATTCTTCAATAATTTCGCTACAGAATAAACTATGAATAGTGCTAGTAAGATTAAATACAAAATAAATAAAAGTAAAACAAAAATTGTCATAAAAACATTACAGGAGTCTTTGATTATAATATGGTTTATGCACTCAATAAATTTCAAATTCCTAAAAACAAAATAAGAATAGAAAAAGAGATGAACAATTTCTAAGTATTCATAAAATTCTATATTATATTACAATATGCTTGAATGATAATCCCACCAAAACTATTAAATATAAAAATTGTAAAAATAAAAGAGAAATGTTAAAATATATAATATGATCGAAGAAATTTTAAAAGTAGTTTAAATTGGAAAAAATAAAATAAATAAAAATGCACGCAACTTACGCATCTTTTTTGCGAATTTCTTTAACAACATTCGTGACCGATAAATCTGAAATCAGATATTATGAAATGTTTATAACAGTTAATTCTTTTTTTTCTTTTTTGAATAGAGACAGTTTAAATAGGCAGTCTCACGGATTTTGATTCATCAAATATTATCCGTGTATTCTATTGTGTTCTCTGTAATTATATGAATTGCTGCTACAATTTTATCAAAACAAAACGAACGAACGGAATTTTTTTTATAAATTGTTTATCTCACGATATAAAATGAAAAATCTTTCACTTGCTGTAATTAAAACAATCAATTCTTTAAGCAAATGCAAACAATTCCTACAGCACTTTTTGAGTAAAAAACGAAAAAATATAATTATTCTGCGAAGCTACTTCGCACCGGAAAAGACGTTTCACATTATTACAAACAAAGTTAGGAAACTTTGAGCCGGGACGAAGAGTTAAGAAAATAAGGAAATGTCGTTACTTAAACTGTCCAACAAAGGGCTTAAGTTAGTAAGTAACGAAAGCTATTAGTAAACAAAATATATATAAACATTCCTTAATTTTATACAAAATGTTGATATAAGATTATGACAATAAAGCCCATAATTAAATTTAAATAGAAATATCTACAGAAAAATCGGAATCATTTCTGGGACAGTTTAACCGAGAAAATAAACATTAAAATAATTCTATTCTACCTTTTTTTTGCATATAATCAAGCTGAGCATAGTTCATCAAACAGAAATGCTGTTTAAAAGTGATATAAAACTATAATAAAGTGTTAAACAACACACTAATATAAAAAGGATATAAAATAAATAGTGAATAACGCAACTGCGTGAATTTTCATAACATTTTTCTCATTATGTGAAATTTATTTTTTTCTATGTAGTGTTCTAGCAAATTTATATAAAATCGTTTTACTGCACAAGATTTATTAAAACGAAAATGAGTTTTAAGAATTAGTACGAAACGGCTTATATTCGTTCTCTAAATTTAAGAAGCTCGGGGTACTTTTTCTTTTCATCAACAATCATTCAAAACACAAAAGGAACAGGCTCAATCAGTGTATGTATCTGACTTTTATTAGTTTTATTTCAATACGAAATTATAGCGTAAAGGGTTTAATTATTAATAAAACATTAATCAATAGCAACTTTTGCATTTTTTACGCAAAAAGGGGTTAAAAATGTTGGTTTAACAATGTATGTGCAATAATTATTTATACGAAAAAGTTACGATACCTAATACTGTTACTACAGAACATATATTTAAGGTGATAAACTAATAAACCCTGAAGTAATTATTTATTAAATTTAAAATTCTCTGTTTCTACTACATTGAAAACAAATTTTTGATTGAAATGTAGTATAACGATCGGAAGTTGACCAGTTGCCTTTTACATCGGGCTTAATGTTATGTGTTGCTAAATATTCATTGTGAGGAATGTACAATGACCAAGGGTCAATATAGCGTCGACGGATGGTTTTACTTTCCATTAAACACAAATCTCATGTGTCATATGCCATTAAGAAATCATCCGAGATAATTGAAATGCTAAATTCTGCTTCGGTTCGTGAATAATAGATGTGTAGATCCTAGTCGGTACTAAATTGGAAAACAATGTTTATGTTGTTAAGCGAAGAGGTTTGGATTAGTAGCTCTCTGTTCGTGGGAAGTAGAGGACACCTGTGTGTTACCACACTTACACAATCTATCACCTTGACAGTCCACCCCCTTTATATATCACACCCTGACGTTGACACACCACCCCGCGGCGGCGGTATAAAGGGGCGGCTGGGGGGGGGGGGTTTATCCGGTGATGCCATCTTAATTGGGCACCCCTCTTCGCCGCCCTCGCTTAAACTCCCGACAACTACCCCCGGCCTCTCCTCCCTCTCGGGTAAACAACGGAGTGGAAACCCTCGTAATTATACATGCAATTGTCGTGTGAACCTGGAGAACCGGATTAAATTTTAATCTAGAGTTATTTTCAGTGGGGATCCTCGCCGAATTCATCTCACCGAGAGCGCAACGGTCACAAGAATGGGTCATATCAGCCTGAACATTACAAATTTTCAGCTTCTATCAAACATCATTTATATTGTGAAAAAATTTAAAGGTCCTAGCTTAATTGAATTTTTAAACTCAGTTTAGGCAAAACAATGCAACTTTCTTTTATTTTTTTCGAGGGCCCTCAACAGCAGAGGTAATCAACCCTAGGGTTGCCGGTGTTTTTGAAAAATATTTGTAAGTGTTCGAAAGCAAGGGCACCGGATTCGAACCCGGGACCTCATAGTGATGAGCGCCGCGTCAACCGACGTCCCTACAATTTTTTAAAAAAACTGCCTGTGCCTATAAGTTTCATATTAAAAA